ACAGCAGTTCCGCAGGGCTTAGTATGCAGTTTCTCTTACTGATGTATATGGAAAGCAGGGTTTGGTATATAGTTCCCCACACATTGGCTAAACTATCCTTGATATATGTAGTATGTGTGTATGTATTTATAAATACATACTGAAGTTTGCAAATTCCTCAGCCAATCATGAGGCCGCAAAAACCATGAAGGATTGAAGCTATAATCTTTCTGATTGGCTAGAGAGAATTAACCCGTATTTTCTTAGGGACGATAGAGTGCCATCATTAACCCATTCGCCACGGATTTATGTTCTGTCCCCTGTAGTTTTTAGTGAATTTTGCTACCTACAGATGGCTCCACATGTGCTCAGCCGGCAAGGAGTCTATCAGTAGGCCCTAGTTACCGACCCTGATTTTCCCATGCATTGCATTGGCGGGAAAATTAATACCATTGCTATCGATACTGTTATTATTGTTATTGATGTTATGCTTATTGAATTGTCATTAGAATATTTTTGACAATGAAATGATACAAAAAACCTTTTCCTAAAGTGAAGGAAAAGGGTAAACAGGTGAAATAGGTAGTTCTTGATAACTGGCTATTTGGTGATTAAAAACTTGTGGAGCCATCTATGTGTAAATACAATAAATAAACGTGTATCAAAGTGGGTATGGCATCTATTCTTGCCATATGTGGCGAATGGGTTAAACCCCATTTAAAGTAACATAGAATTTAATTTCCTCGATAAAGGATAGTAGAAAAGGTATTAATAATGATAATGATAAAGATGATGATAATAACAATAACAATGTTAATAATACTGATGATGATAATGATGGTAACAATAGCAATAATAGTAAAAAAAAACATAATAATGACAATATTATGTATTATGATGATTGTGATGTTATTTATTTTAACGTTGATAATAAGTATTAACACTCAAAATCATATATACGCAGACTTACATACACAAACTAACACACTCACAAACAGACTTACACACAAAACTAGAGACACACACAAACACAGACTTACACAAAAACACACACACGCATTCTTACACACACAAATACAGACTCACACACACACAAATACAGAATTACACAAATACAGACTCACACACACAAATACAGACTTACACAAATACATACTCACACTTACACACACAAACACAGCTTTACACTAACACAGACTTACACATTAACATTGTAATAATCAAAGTAATGATTATGGTAATACCCAAGGATATACTAATGATAATAACAATGATGATAATAATGATAATATCAATGATGAAAATAATGATAATAACAACAACGGTAATAATGATAATAACAGCAATGATAATAATGATTATGAAAAAGGGAATAATGATCGCTTGTAAACTAATATCAGAGAATATTTGTATAATTTTCATGTAAAATAATCCATCTAATTAGTACCGCAAGATATTTGTTTATGATAGTTCAAACGTTTGAAACATTTATCAATGTTCCGAATTCCCTTATTGTCAATCAAGTAGCAGGACAAGACAGCAGTCACTTTTGGCCTTCTCTCAAGTCTTTGCAAGAAAATACTTTTTTACTAGACCTAATTACAATTAAATATTTGTTTTTTTTTTCCCTTAAATTTGTGTATTTACTCAATGGTTCTAATATCTAAATAGGGTTTAAAAAGAAGTTCCATCATAACTATTCCCAGTTTTGGTTGCTAATTGAGGTGTAAACAATTATTATTTTAACTATTATTGTCAGTATTATCATAATAACTATTATCAATATTAATATTATTAATATTATTATTATCGTTATCATTATTATTATTATTATCATTACTATTATTATTATTATTACAACTATCATTATTACTATTATTATTATTATTATCATCGTTACTGTTATTATCATTATTATTATTATTATTATTGCTATTATCATTTTACTAGTAGTAGTAGTTGTAGTGCAACTATCATTTCTACTAGTAGTAGTAGTATTAGTACTATTAGTATTATTACTATTAGTTTCACGATTATCATTTATACTGATATTCTTAACATTATTTTTACTATCATTATTGTTACTATTATGAATACTATTATGATTATTAATATTATTATTATTATCATTACTATTATTACTATTACTATTATTATTGTTATTATTACTATTATTATTATTGTTATTATTATTATTATTATTATGGTTATAACTATTATTACTATTATTATCATAATTATTATTATTATTATTATTATTATTATCATTGCTATTATTATTATCATTATTATCATTATTATTATCATTATTATCAATATTATTATCATTATCATTATTATTATTATTGTTGTTGTTGTTATTATCAATAGCAATATTATCATTATTATTATCATTATTATTATTATTATTATTACTATTATTAACATTATTATTATTATTATTATTATTATCATTATTATTATTATTATTATTATTATCATTATTATTATTATTATTATTATTATTATCATAACAATTATT